TTTTTTTTTTTTTTTTTTTTTTTTTTTTTTTTTTGGATGAACAGTTTATGCAATTGCATTTAACATCATGTAGTGCAGATAGATATGCGAACTATATACATACATTTGCTTGTACATGCTGCAATGCCAATCAATCAACTCAAGTCATACTTGGTACATACATATACATGTTCTGCGTAAATCACTGCAAAGGCAAAAGTAGAGATAGGAAAAAAGAAAGGAGCAGAGTAATCATGAATCATGGGATATACGCTATGTGCAAAAAAAAAAAAAAAAAAAAAAGGAAAGTAAATGAGAGAGACAGAGCAAGAGAGAGAAAAGAAAATCGTGAGACCGAGACTTCATCCATAAATTCGTCACTTCATGTCATGCACTTGTAGATAGATGTGTAACGACATATCCAACATTGACGAAGGCATAGCACAACTACTGCTGAAGACTTTTCACAGCCTGGATAAAAGCACGGATTCTGTCAGGGTCTTGGGAACCATTCGATTCAACGCCTGAGCTGACATCCACTCCAGCCACCTTGCTGCCCAACTTGCCCAGTTGTTGAATCATGGTTGAAACGTTGTCCGGACCCAAGCCACCAGCCAAAATGACCCGCAAACCCTCATCGCTTTCCAGAACTTTCTGGACATGCGATCCATCAAGCTGCTCACCGGATCCGCCTGCTCCAGAATCTAGTAAGGGCAGGGTATGATATGCCCTACGTGCAATCCCGGGCTCATCCAGGGAGAACTTGCGAATGATAGGCACCGGAATCAGACTGGCCCATTCCAACGGTTCAGATCCGTGCAGTTGCACAACATCAAGTCCCAGTTTCTGCTGCTTGGCCAATACATATGATAACGGCTGATTTTGGAAGACACCAACAACCAAAGCGCGCGTTGGATGACGAAGAATCTGAGCTGAGTGATCAAAGTAATCTGCTGAGGTCGTCACTGTGGCTTGAGCGACAGGGCGTGCTGTTGATTTGACGACATTTGAAATGCGCTGGGCGACATCATCGGGAACAGTTCGCTTCCTTCCCTCAACTAGGATGATACCGATCAAATCTGCGCCAGCCTCGATGGCAGCCCTAGCTCCTTCTTCAGTACGAGTACCGCAAATCTTGATCAAGGGAGAGCTCGATGCCTGCGCGGGTTGAGCTTCGCCTCCGAGTAGCTCTGCAACAAAGGCAGAGGTATCAGCTGCGCGCATAAGAGCCTCGCCAACCAGGATAGCTCGCACTCCTTCCTTTTTGTAAGCTTCGACATCCTTAGGTCCAGAAATTCCGCTAAGAGCACAGACTACGGTACTCCCTGGGACCTGATCCATCAGCCGACTGGTGGTACCAAGATCGACTTCGAAGCTCGTCAAGTCTCGGTTGTTAACACCAATGACCTGAGAACCAAGATCAACGGCAATCTTCATCTCCTCGGGGGTATTGACTTCAACTAAAGGCTCCATTCCAAGTCTGCGAGAGTAGTGGTAAAGTTTGGTGAGCTGATCAACACTAAGCATCTTCACAATGAGCAAGATGGTGTCAGCACCAGCCAGCCGTGCCTCCAGAATTTGATACTCGTCAAAAATAAATTCTTTTCGCAAGATAGCAGGCCGATTAGGAAGGCCCTCCAGGCTCTGTCGAACGGCACGCAGATCATCGATGCTGCCCTTGAACCACTCCGGCTCTGTGAGGACAGAGATGACGCTAGCTCCTGCTTTGGCGTATTCACGGGCCTGCGCTGGAGCACATGCGTGCGCAGCGATCATGCCCTTAGAGGGAGAAGCGCGCTTGATTTCCGCCATGAGCGAAAGCGGATACGGTGACTGTCTGAGACGAGCAGGGAAGGGGACCTGTGGAGGAGCGATGTTGAGATCATACGCCGCCTGAAGATCATCTGGTCGCTGCGAAGGAACAGTCTTCTGAACGGCAACAGCGGCCTTGCGGTGGTCATAGATTTTCTCCAAAATAGAGACCTTCTTCTCCGACTTGGTGGCGTCATTCGCGACCACTGCACCATTCGCCGCTAGGGTGCCGTTTGGCGCAGAGCGCTGCTTGTTTTCCTCCCAGGTACCCGCCGTAAGTTTGAGGAAGCTCCTAAACATCGATCGTCCATATTCGGTAAGAATACTCTCCGGGTGGAATTGAACGCCTTCGACAACAAGTTCTTTGTGTCTCACGCCCATAATGACGGTCTTCCCACTGCCGCCATTCAGCTGTGCCCAAGAAGACACCTCCAGGCATTCAGGAACGGTCGAGTGCGTGCCAGCAAGCGAATGATACCTAGTAACTGCAAGAGACTCAGGAAGCCCTTCATAGACACCCTTTGAGTCATGCTTCAGTACCGACGTCTTGCCATGCAGGATTTCGCCGGTGACATCCACCTTTCCCCCAAACGACGAGATAATGCATTGCTGGCCCATGCACACACCAAAAACAGGAATTTTCCCACTGAAATGCTTGATTGCCACACTGCTTATACCAGCGTCCGTTTCTGGATGACCTGGGCCGGGACTAATGACCAGCTGAGTCGGCTTCTTCGCGATCAAATCTTCAAGAGTAATCTCATCGTTGCGGAAAACAGTGACCTTAGCTCCTTCAAGGACTAGATACTGGTAAACATTATACGTGAAAGAATCGTAATTGTCAATAAGGACGACGTTGGTTGCGCTGTCCAGTTGCGCGGCTCTGGTCGGATGGTGGGGGGAGTGGTCGACGAGATCGGAGGCGCCCATGACTGCGATCTTGAAACGAATAGTTAGAATTGAGGTATTCAGGTTATGTTAATATGCGATGGCTGTCGCACTAACCTTCTCCTCGTTCTCTTCGCTCTGTACTAGGAGAATGTTAAGTGGAAAAAAAAGAGAGGAAGAGAGAGGAAGATAAAGAGTCGTACAAAGAGCTGAGCAATTGATTTCCTAAATTGGCAATTCTGTCAAACCGTGCAAAAATTCGCCTCACCGCCCAACACTAACCCCAGATAGGTAATCGATGTTGACCTTCGCTGCGCGCCTTGAATATTCTTTAGTGAATGTCATTCACTCTGTTTGCTTTCTTGACAACGCGAACCCCCTTTTTCTTTGGGTTCAACGCCCACGGCGAACTTCCTCTGTCTTTATAATTTTGGCACATATGATGATATAATTGGTTTGCCAAATGGCTCCCCTCCCGGAAGCCTATTTTCCGTCCCTGGACAAGTGCTTCTCCGGGGACGTCCAACTCTTGTAGGCCACTTTTCGCCCTATCCACATGCCGAGATAATATAAGTGTTAACCAATTTTCTCTAGGTCCTGGCGGAGAGCCTTCCTCTATACATGCAACCCCGAGGACGATCTCGATGATACGGGCAACGTCCATGCCTTCCTGTCGCATCCAGATAGTGTCCGTTTACTTTCGAACTCCTTAAACCCTTTCCACCCCCCGTCCGCCAAGTCGAAATCAGATCTTGAATCGAAGACTTCCGCGATCCACGCCGAGACCACCTCGCAAGCTTCGTACGATCTGAAGGAAATCAAGGCAGATGCTCTATGGCTGAGTGAGAAGGCTGGCATCGACGAGATTACAGCGTTGCGGATTGCAGTCTTAGAATGGCAAAATCGACCTGCCGCGCGCCTTCTAACTCGATTTTCTGAAGAGGAGGTTACGAGTTTGCAAAATGCTGCTGGGGTGGATAATTTGCGTGTTTCCCTGGCCGGTCCAAACTTCACCGAGATTCTTAGGCAAGAAGCGGGAAGTGGGCTCAATGTCTCTGATCTGACTTCTGAGAAGAGTAGACGCCTGCGGTTGCGCAATCTCTACATTTCCGAAAGAGGTCACGTTGTCAAGACAGCTCGTAAACTTCTTACCCTATCACTGTACAATAGCCGCCAAGATGAGCCTGTTTTGTCCCAAGCACGTGGAAATGACCGGAGGTATTCGCTGCATGAACTCGGTGCGACCATTTTCACAAACAAGTCCGGCGGGGAAGATTGGCGCAAGTTCCTCCAAGAATGCATCGACGCTGTGCGCAGTCGGCTATCATCGTTGGAGGGAGATGGTGGCTGGTTAGGAACTGCTGAGGGTAGTGAGGAGGTGGAAGACACATGGAGGACAAGTACTGTTGAAGAAATCGTGCATATAATCCAGATGCTGTTCCTTCAACTGCAGGCCTCCTCGGAAATACCAACTGCGGATGCCATGGTATCATGGCTGCGGTTGATGGCCGACTATGGCTTTCTGGAGTCGTTGCAAGTGGTAAGTCTTGCCTGAGATCTTTTCCGTTCAGGCAGCGGACTAAAAACTAACTCTTATGAAGCCTTGCAGTGACCCGACAGAGGTCCAGCTGTCTCTCCAGGGCCTTGTGTCTATAACAAGTCTTATATTCCTGAAACTTCCGCTTTCCATTCCTTTCATAGTCAACAAATCCCAACCGCAGGCGTCATCCAAACCACCTTATTTCCTATCAAAGGATGAAGTTTCGCAGCTTAATGAATTGTTCACAACTGCATGTGTAGATTTCAAGTCTGCTCACCCGGCCGCGTTTTCCTGGGGACTAGTGCTGCATACCATGCGAGAGCTAGCACTCAACGATAAAGAGAGTCGAGAGCTAGAACAGTTTCACAGTGCAGTTGATTCCTTCCAGTCAAACACTCCGCATGCCAGTCCGGGCCGGGGGTTGGAACTATCTTTGTACGAGGAATTGCTAGACTGCGCTCGGACCTTCAAATACACCGTGGATGATTCCATTACACTCCTGAGCTCAGATATGATGAAAGACACCGTGTTTGAGACTGTCATTGCGTTGGCAACCAAAGTCGGGTCTACATCAGCAGTTGATGATATTTTGGCAAGTCGATGGATTCGCGTGGCTCTTCTGGACCTAATCCGGGTCGTAATAATGTTCTTGGATTATTCCCCCGAAATTGTTGAGTCCGTCCTCGCAATACTGACGGGGTCACCTTTGCAATCGCCCTGGGCCTCCGACACGTCCCCATCTTCCTCCAGCGACCCGAGGTGGATTTTTATGAAAGATCGCCTTTTAATGGACAACATATTTCACATAGCACGCTCCCGGTTTCCTTACGAGACGGTTCCCTTCCTAAAGCTCTGCCGCGCCCTCATTAGCAAAGACCTTGTTAACGAGGATGGCTTACCAGAAATCATCAATCAGCTGGAAAATCTGGAAACTTTCACGCAGGTCGTTCCACCAGACTTTCAGGGTTACGACACTATTCGGGAGGATGAAAATGCGAACTATGTCTCTCTTATACATTCCCTTCCGATGTTTGACTCTTCACTGAAAAGACTACTTCCCGATTCTCAACCGAGCAATGCCTTGATTGTCACAGGTTTGTCTGAAATTCCTTCGACAACTGAGGGTCAAGTGGTTTCCGAGTCGAAACCAGTGGTAGTCATGTGGCATCATCGATACTCTTGCTTGAGCTTCTTGGGGAGCTGGTTAGAAGAATGGAATGAAAATGGTGGCTATTCATCGGGATGGGGAGAAGATTCGATTGCAGAAGTCATAGGGCTACTAGCAGACCTTGTTACCACCGCCAAAGATGTGCAAACACCAGGCGACGTGGGCTCTGGAGCCAGGAGAGTATTGGAAATGGCCAGTGATGGGTTGTCTCGGCAAAGCGATATAGTTTCATTGGTCTTTGAAATATTCGAACGCAACTTGCAGAACATCGGCCCCCGGGCTACTTTGGACGGCATTCTCGATTCGACAATTGCTTGCTTGCGGTTTATTTGCGGTCTAGTCATGGTTTTGCCTAGCAGAGTATGGCCGTTGCTCGCACGGAGCAGCTTGCTTGGAGCCGATGGAAAAGGCGGCGTAATGACAGCAATCGTCTCCGCAATTGAGGTACCATCTGGGGACTATCCGTTTTTGCTTAGCTCCGTCAACTTGTTTGAACAACTTGTTAATGATGCGGCTTCACGTGCCGTTCTACGGAGGAGTCCGAATAGTGCTGTGACCAAATTGCCTGTTGCTTCGGATTGGGGTGCCGGTGTTCCTTCACACATAATGAGAGGCATTCTGCTGAACTTCGTTCGAACAGTGGTGGGGGTTTACAACAGCAACGTCAATTGGCGGTTCAACTCACCGGACCAAAGGCTTCAAGTCAACACCACCCTTGCGCGGACGTTCGAGAACATACTCTACTACGCATATGGAACCAACCAGACTGGCAAACTAGACACGAAAGTAACTGGCGTTTTCTCTGCATCTGCGTCATATCTCCTAGATGTCTTAAGGCCCCAGTCGGCGGCCGATTTGCCCTTTAACCAAATCCTACGATTTATCATCGATGGCCTTCAAACGCCTCCCACATTATATCTCCGTTATCTTGCGTTGGTAGAAGGTCAAGTCAAGTCAACCCTTGCACTTTCCATCAAGTTGTTGCAGGCAGCCCAGTTGATGGAACACCCAGTGTCGCTACTCGAGGACCAATTATTTAGGGCGACACCGGCCCTGGTCAAAATATACGCACTACATGACGCCTATCGTCTGCCTGTCATATCGCTCCTTGACATGCTCATAACTAGGGCAGCCGCTGATTCCTTTAATGAACCGCCATCCCTGGTTGGTCAGCTTGGGGCAGAGTCGTCTTGTCTTTTCCTTGACGTTTTGTCGCAATTTGATCAACCACTGAGCCATCGTCCTCTGCACCTCGCAGTATGGCACTTGCTCTCAGCGCTCGTTAGCAAGCGCCAGCAGTGGCTTTCTGTTTACATTCTCACTGGATCATCCCCGCGACAGTCATTGAAGAAAGATGATACACGGAAAGCCCCAGCAATGAGGGGCACTCCATTTTTGCAAATCGCCCTTGATAAACTGTCCAATATCGAGCAGCTTGATTTACAAGTGGCTGTTTCTTTACTTGAATTTGTTTCGCATGCACAGGAACATTGGCCATGGGCAACCCCAGAGTTAAGAAAATACCCTAATTTTTTCAACAGCATTGTGAACTATGTCTCGAAGTTGAAAATATCTTCCTTGCCTGTTGTGAGCCAAATCCCCGCGACTCGTGTTGCGGCAGTGGTTGCAGATCTCTGTGCCGTCTACCTACATTCTGCCAAGGAAATGCGAGATCGGTCATTCATCAAGACTTTGATCCCGCTGGTGTCTTGGTTTGCGAAGGATGCTGTCGAAGTCTCGGGATATAACGCATCACTGCATGCGAACCTGAAGAAGAACTTCGAGATGAGATATTCCGGCTGTAAGCTTGTTGACTTCAAGAGGTCATCTCTCGAAACTCGTGGCTTGGGACGAGAATATTATTACGACACTGCTCTGGGCGAGAAGTTACTTTCTTACGACTTCGCTTGGGCCGGATCCAGAAACCAAGGGTTCGCGGAGGAGTTTGAGCGTGCCAATATCAACCTCTCTCTTGTTGAGGCGCAAGTTGTATGTTTTACCTAGTTGTCTTCCATGCGTGTGCATAACTAATATTTTCTTCAGAGCCTTCTGCATGGCTGGAAATTCTTCGCCATCGAGCACTGTGCGGACTTTATGGCCGACCGCGAGGTTCAAAGATCGATGGCATTGGTCGTCCAGAGTTCTTTGGAGGCCAATACTCGAAGCGTTCCCCAAGAATCGATATTTGAGAGGATACAGCAGACACGGGTTGACTTCGCACAGGCTTTGCTTCAACGACTCGTTGAGGTTGGGGCAAAAGGCGCTGAGGTCTTTGGCTTACTCAAGGTCGCTTGGGATACTTTAAGAACACGCCGTGCAACATATGAAGAAGCGCTTGTTAATGATGATACGGAATATTACCGATCTCTCCTTAATGTCCTATTCCTGGCCCTTCAATTTCACGTTGATGGACCTTCTCGGGCGGCCCCTGAGACGATCAACAAGAAGGCTGAACTCTCATCTGATTTGACACAGGTCATCGAAATCACGAAGGTCGTTGTGGCACAAGGTTTTAAGGCCCTGACGACATACTTGCACGATGATCCAGAAAAATGCACACCGAAAGATTTTGCCATCCTCACTGCCATCTTGCAGACTTGTCTCCAGGTCAAGAATGCGGATCGGCTGCTTGAGCACATCGTGTTCCACATTCAGGATAATGATACTGCCCGGTATGCTACTACGCTTTTCTCGTGGGCCGATCAGTTGGCGGTGGCTGGCGATCCCATCTACGGTGACCTTAGTATCTCGTTCCTCGTTAAGCTGTCTACGATTCCCATGTTAGCAGAACATCTCGCCGTTGAAGGGGTCTTGATGAGGCTTTCTACCTGCCGGTTAACAAATGTTCTCCGCCAGTCCAAGGGATTTGGACCGTTTGACCCTGTTCCCCGGCTATACACTATCTGGACCAGCGGTATTCTACCGCTTTGTCTGAACCTGCTCTACCACGTCATGCGGACTGCACCGGAGGTGGCAGCGTTCCTCAATCAATTTGAGGGCCAACTCGGCCGTGCAGCAGAATCATTCTCCGCAGGTCGCGCAACGGCTGGCACTTCAGTTCCCGCGCCCCATCGCATCTGCCTAAGTATGGCTTCTGAAGCCAACTCCCTTGCATTGATCACCTTCATTCTGGACCGATTCCGGGAAGCCGGCGCCAGCGCAGGTGTTGATGCGTCGTCGATCCAGGAACTCAAATGGGACAAGGGACAGGTCAAGGAGGACATTGAGGAGCTGCTGGAGCGGAAACAAACGCTTCGGACTCGGATTGTGGCTACGAATGACAAGGAGGTGGAGATGGCGCGACAGAAGCCTGCCAGTGCTTCGTCTGGTGCGGAGAACCGACTTGAGGAGAAAATTATCGGTGAACTGGGGGCCGCATTGCTTTGTCTTGGGGGTGAAGAGTAATGGAGTGATGGGTTCTTGTTTGGTGTATGTAGCATTCTAGATTTTTCGTACATTGCCATTTTCTGCTCTATGGATAATCACTTGTTGATGGACATGCTTCTTTAACCCAAACCGAATACATATTATCTCGTATCTCCTCACTTGTAATGTCACTTGTCCGAGGTCTACGATGCTAACCTCGGGCATTTCCCTTCTTGGCAATTGCTTTGTAGAGTGTTGCGGGGCTGGAGCGTAGTTAGATCATGGGCTGAATTAGGAAAAAGGGTATTCTTAATGAACTCTTGTTCTCCTAGGCCATTCAAAGATATGCATATCTCTGGTTCCATTTGACCTCATTATATGATTTTTCAGGGCAAGACAACATGCCGCTCACATCACGCTGGCAGACAGAACAAATCCCCCACACTCACCTAGCTTCCTTACTCTTTACCTCATCTACTCACCCTCTATCACAAACACACCGATGTTATTCTGACGCCGACAACCCAGAAACCCGCTATTTCACTACCCATGACTTCCGCCTCTGGTGCCAACGATTCGCGGCGGGGTTGCGCAAATCCGGTCTCCAGACGGGGGACCGGGTGCTGCTGTTCTCTGGCAATGACCTGTTTTTCCCTGTTGTATTTCTGGGAACCATAATGGCTGGTGGTGTTTTCTCGAGCGCGAATCCGACTTATGTAGCTCGGGAACTGGCGTATCAGTTCCAGGATAGCGGTGCGACATACCTTCTCTGTGCAGAGTCTAGTCTGGACACGGGCATTGAAGCGGCTAAATTAGCTGGAGTGAACAAGGATCGAGTCTTTGTTTTCAACAGTGACATCTATGACGGATCAGGCCAGGCGCAGAAAGGCTGTCGCCACTGGGAAGAACTGGTAGCATCCGCAGAAGAAGGAAGCAAGTTCGTCTGGGAAGAACTCTCAACCCCAGAAACAGCCAGCCGCACACTAGCCCTTAACTACTCCAGCGGAACAACAGGAAAGCCCAAGGGCGTGGAAGTCTCGCACAAGAACTATGTGGCCAACACACTACAGACAGCCTTTATGGCGCAGTTGAGCCCGGAGTACGACGCAAGAATAGCCAAGGCGCGATTGCTCTGCTTCCTGCCTATGTACCATGCAATGGGGCAGACAATATTCATTGCCAACGCTTTGCTTTCTGGGACGCCGGTATATATTATGCCGAAATTTGATTTCGTCGGAATGCTCGAGTATGTGCAGAAATTCCGCATCACTGAGCTTATCCTCGTGCCTCCGATCATGGTAAAGCTTGCAAAGCATGCTGCCGTGAGAAGTGGAAAATACGATTTGAGTAGTGTGGAGACAATCCGTTGTGGTGCGGCGCCTGTGGGACGGGAGATCTGTAGGGAAATCAAGGAGTTATGGGGGCCCGGACGGGTTGATATAAAGCAGGCATGGGGGATGACCGAGTATGTTTTCCTTCACTTCGCACGCCGTCCGTACATTGATGTATTTTGCAGGGTGACATGCTCGTTTCTGGGATGGGATCCCAGAGATGAGGGCGACCTGGCATCTGTCGGCATGTTGTACCCCAATTGTGAGGGCATGGTCATGGCCGACGACGGCAAGACAGAGTTAGGCAAGCACCAACACGGTGAATTGTGGGTTCGAGGACCGAGTGTCATGAGAGGATACTGGCAAAAACCTCAAGCCACACAAGAGACCAAAACAGTGGATGGATGGCTGAAGACGGGAGATATCGCATATTTTGATGATGATGGAAGATTCTATGTCGTGGACCGGATAAAGGTATTCAAGCCATTTCTCATAAGGTGCTTCCATGATGATATATATACTGACTTACTTGACTTATAGGAACTAATCAAAGTCAAAGGCAACCAAGTAGCACCAGCAGAGTTGGAGGGACTCTTGTTGGAGCATCCTGCAGTCGCCGATGTTGCCGTCATTGGAGTACCTGTGTAAGTCTTCACACATATTGGCTCAACTCTGTGACAGAAAGTAGCTAATTTGGTATCAGCAACGATGATGAGCGTCCTCGTGCGTACGTTGTACTGAAGCCCGGCCGGGACATTACGGCAGAGGATATTATCAAGTTCATGGATGGGAAGGTGACTACAGTTAAACGCATTACTGGTGGGGTTGTCTTTATAGATGCGATCCCTAAGAATCCTTCAGGCAAGATCCTACGTAAGGAGCTTCGGGAGCGGGCCAGGAAGGAGATGAAGGGAGTTACTGCGAAGCTGTGATAGACACAATGCATGCACAGCTTTGGACAAATATGGTCTGGGTTTCGATTATCTCGCAGAAAAAATGACTCTAAAAATAACAATACATTTCATAAATTATTAAACGCATCAAATATGATTCGCTAATGTTTCATTGCTCAGATCATTCTGGCATGGTTTGACATATTCTTGCTAGACTATCAAAAAACAGGTATTCCCTAATATCGTCGGGAAGGCCGTGATTATTCGAAAGACACTGCTGGGTGAAATAAATACGTGCCAGGAGGAATGGCTTGACATGTGAAAATTGTGGAATTCATGATTAACTGTTATTCGACTTACTGGGTCTTTCCCGCATGAACTGGTCATCATATATGCACTATGTGCATCGGGACGCACTAGCAGTTTAATAGGACCTTCAAGAACCATCCGGGGTGATAGCGTAAAATCAGCAGTGCACCCCATAATTGGAAAGTCACGCATAAAGTTCTACATAGCAAGACCCTACTCGTGCAACTAAACTTTCGGTAAACAATTACTATAATCCGTACTTTTTCTTGGTGGGGGGAAGGGCAAGATAAAATTGGCCGGCTTTTTTTCCCGGGCGAATTTAGATTGCGATGCCTAATTCGTTTGATTATAAGTAGAACGCGTGGGGTTATAATTGCTTTGCACCGAGTATTTGGAATTCGTTGAGTAGACTCAGAGTTTGGCGTATCGAACTAGTCTGTGCGAGAAAAAGATCATCCACATGCATATCATCTGGACCTGGTAATCGGGTCGTACTATGGGCATGAACCAAAAAAAGGCGTGGTTCAACTGTCGGGATGGCCTAATCGAACAGCCGTTCAGTCTATCGGTGAGATACATGGCGCTGATGGCGGCTTCGGGTATTGTTTTTTATGTCCT